GTCCCATGGTATAACCCCATCAATGTCCCATGGTATAACCCCTATCAATGTCCCATGGTATAACCCCTAACAATGTCCCATGGTATAACCCCTATCAATGTCCCATGGTATAACCCCTATCAATGTCCCATGGTATAACCCCTATCAATGTCCCATGGTATAACCCCTATCAATGTCCCATGGTATAACCCCTATCAATGTCCCATGGTATAACTCCTAATAGTTGGTAGCACCAATCATGATCAGTCCTTATGATTTCAATAAGTTACACACAACAAACAAGTCAATTGTCCTGACATAACCAGTGTTCATCCTCACCCGGATCGGGTGGTCAGACCCGCTGACTTAGTTGATACATGTCAATTGTCCCAATTGCATGGTTTGATGCTCGTGATGTCAATCACTGGATTGTCTGATTATTTATATACCGCCGTCATATAGAGGGAATATTGCTGAGTGGGCATTAAACAACAAACAAACAAAGTATGCAAATCAATGACAATATTGTCAGCGAACTATTTTTTCTATTAAAATTGGTTATAATATTCTATGAAGTAAATAGTGAAGTTTTCCAAATATCCTTGCTTTTTTTATTGCACCTACACATAAAACAATAGCCATGTAGAAATACTTAGACTATAGGTTAAGCGCTGTAAACATACAGGTCTACTCTCTGCTATCAATGAGTGGCTCATCAAGTGCTTGAATCGAGGAGCTTTTTCTTCTGTCGAAATGTCAAGGGCAGAACAGTTTTTTCTTTGAGATGAATGCATCAGTTTCGAACGATAATGCAGGGAGGTGACGAGAGCCGAACATGTCATATATACCGTTAAAGCTGAGACACTGGGCCACATTGACATGACATTGGTCCTGCCTCGATTCTGTAACTTGATCAGGTAGTATGGAGGCTCCCCTTAATGTAATATATGTTTGACGACGATATGTGATATGTGCACCTTTTTAGTTTGAGCAACATTTAGAAGGCAACACCCTGTTTCTGACCCTGTATCAACTTGCAAAAGTGGTTACACTTCGCTCCCACACCAAAACAGCAAGAGCACCAGTAAAATGGGGTTAAACAGAGCATTCAAGAATTATTGCACATACATATATATGTACACCACACACACACACACACACACACACACACACACACACACACACACACACACACAAAATATCTACAAAAATATTCATCAACCATAACTTTTTTGTTTAGTACAGTATTTGTTTTTTCAGTTTGTATATCTTGCATATTTTGTGAAATCATCACTATTATTCCTGTTAATGCTTGGAATTATTGCTGAATACTTATTTTTGCGCTCAATAAAAAATGCTTCATATGAGCAAAATAATGACATGTCAGTTTCTGATGTATGTACTACATTACCAATCAATCTCTTGTTACCCTCGTGGTTGATACAAAAACTTGAGTAATAGTGTAGCTCACCTCACTGGTGAAATAATAATCTGATGACACTTCAACTTTATTAGCTACATTTGTTTGTTTGTTGTTTAACCCCGCACTCAGCAATATTCCAGTTATATGACGGTCGTCTGTGAATAATTGAGTCTGGACCAGACAATCCAGTGATTGGCATCATGGGCATAGATACAAGCAATTGGGATACGATGACATGCATCAACCAAGTCAGCGATCCTGTAAGTCGCCTTTTACGACATACATAGTAATCCTTTTACGGTAAGTATGGGTTGCTGAAGACCTATTCTACCCCGGATCTTCACAGGCTACAAAAATCTATTGTGAGTAAAGAAATATTGGTGCATAAGATCCTGGGAAAGAAAAACATATATTTCTGTAATATAATTGAGTGTAAATACAATCAGGTACATTCACACAGTGTTTAAGCCCTGCCCCCAGCGATTCTTAAGAACAAGATTTTAAAACTTCTTGTACAGTTTGATCATTTAAATATTCTTTAAAAATCACCATGCAATAAAATAACACTCATTTGTGTAAGATAAGATGTCATCATAAAGTTTCGGATTTCAAAATTCCATCAATCCAGCAGTATCAGAGGATAAGATATTCAAGAGCATGCAACAAGGGCAAAGGTCTTTCCACTGAAAAGGTCAGAGCTGGGGTTACCAGGGGTCACAGTGTCATGGGCCTTTTAAGTAGTCCCTCACAAGAAATGGGAGACCCTTGTTTGAAGTGCTATAAGTCCCCAGTCCAAGTGTTGCCTCAACAGCAACAACAATGGATGACAAGTGATCTTGGCTTTTGACCAGCCAAATTGCCAATAACGCTGACCTGCCATCCAGTTTGGACCAGTTTGAACGTGTTTCACTATTTTCTTCACTATGAAAAGGTATAGGATGTTGAAGTTTTGCCTCGTCCATCCTACCGACACCCTATCACAATACTGTTGAACCATTTTTTTTTTAGGTCGAAGTTGGTTTCCATGGCAACCATGTGTGGAAAAACTACTTTTTGCCATTTCTCCCCAAAGTATCCAGATAATTTGATGAAACACAGTATTGGGCAAGTGTGGTTTTCAAGTTTCAATTTTCACTTTGATGACACCAACTATTGTTATGCTGTAATGGTTGAATTAAGGTTAAAATGCAAAATATTCCAAAACAATGGAACGTACATGTTAGGCCCAATACTAACGACAACTGTGCCAAAATACAATTCATTTTGAAAAAAGATGTCCGATTAATAGCCGTTAGGGATGGGTAATTGATGTTTAAAGTGTATCCCAATATTTTACAAAGCACAAGGACGTATTGCAATCACAAAATATTGTATTATTCAAAATTTTGAATTCAGCAGCAATTTGAAACATCAATGGGCAGAAATTGAAGTTCATAAATGGAACAAAACAAGATGCTGGAGCAGCATAATGTTTATTCATTCAATAAATACGCTCTGGGACAGTGATGACTTGGTCATATACCACTGCCTTAGAAGAACTCCAGAATGCAGACTTGCATTTTGGAATTACGGCAACATAGTGAAGGTATAGTAAACTACGGTTATAACGAACTCAAAGGGACTACTAATTTTAGTTTGTTATAACCGTAATTCGTTATAAGCATATATACAGCATAACTACAGCATATAGTCGGGACTAAAAAGTTAGTTCGTTATATCCGTTAGTTTGTTATAAGCGTGTTCGTTATAACCGTAGTTTACTGTACATGTATTTGTCAAGTTTATAACATTAAACACATGATAAAATCACTATTTGAAATCACCCGACATACCAGGCATTAAAACATATTATTGTGATACGTATCGTGGAAAGAACGAACCTCAATTTACCGATATACCGATAAAATCACACACCCTTAATCATGTTAATAGCCATTAATTGGTTTTTAAATGTCTCCACAGAGAACATTTATAACTTCTCCTGTAAAGATGACAAACATCTGTATGCAGTTTCAGCACATATGGCGAACTAATCTGAAATCAATACCAGGTATATGCAAGCCTAGTTGCAGCCTCGTCCAGTGGTTTCAGAGACAGTAGTGCATGACATATGAATAGGTACGACACATCCACTCTCAACCCTGGCCCCTAACATGGATGGAGATGTAAAGATTAGTACCGTCATACGTTTTCCGACGTCCATGTTTATCGCGATTGCTTGCACTATAACTAGGGAGATTCCGGGGTAGAATAGGTCTTCAGCAACCCATGCTTGCCGTAAAAGGTGACTATGCTTGTCATGAAAGGCGATTAACGGGATCGGGTGGTCAGGCTCTCTGACTTGGTTGATGCATGTCATCGATCCCAATTGCGTGGATCGATGCTCATGATGTCAATCACTGGATTGTCTGGTCCAGACTCGATTATTTACAGACTGCCGTCATATAGCTGGAATATTGCTGAGTGCAGCGTTAAACAACAAACCAACCAACTATAACTAGGGATGTAGCATCACACAGACATTGTAAATACTCTGATGATGGCTTTTTTTTTTAGGGAAAACTGTCTTTTAAAAGTGAATGAGATGTTTTACAGTTGTTCATGTGATTACGAATGTTTTGTCAGCGTCCAAAAACCCTTTTCATGGGGATATAAATAGTTTGTGTGATTTTTGGGGATGTATGTTTGTTGTTTAATGTTGTGCGTTGCTATGAGACAGTGGCCTATATATAACCAGGTCTGGACCAGACAATTCAGTGATTGATATTGCAACGATCAACAGATCTATGGTACGATGACAACCCATCAACCAAGATGCAGAGACTGATCACACTACCCATTCAGTGCCTAGACTAGATTATTTGTAGACTATTTTATTTTGATTATTTTCATATAGCTGGAATATTGCTGAGTGTGGCACCAAACAACAAACAAACAAAACAAAACACAATCTGTACAAATGAATGACATTTATCTTCCCAAGTGAGTGAGTTAAAATTTAACTCACTCACTTGGGAAGAAAGATGTTGAGACGAGACCACTGTTAGACGAACATTTAGTCTCTGAAATCTTATATTACACAATATCCTTCTTGACTCGAAAGATAAAAAAAAATTCCCTATGCTAATTTCATATGTTGAATATAGAGCTAGCTAGAGCTGACTAGACTTGCTTTTGTATGCGTTTCTAGATTATTATTTTTTTCATAAAATAAATATATTCCACGGTCATGGTGCAGGACTAGACCTCTGTGTCTGTGATGAAATACCACAAAATAAATATATTGGATGACTGGCTTTGGCCCTGCCCCGCACTAAAACACAGGTTTTGTGGTGCCTCCTTCAGAAAGATTCTTTTTTCAAAACATGTCTCACTTAACCCAGCAGTGAAAAGGTTCCAAGTTAGTTGAGGTGGTAATGTAACTGTTAACGTTCAGGCACGTCATAGACAGCTTGATTTGTATTCTCCCCAGGGAGCTGAGAATGAAAATTGAGTGCACACAGATCCAAGACCAAGGTAATAATGGTGTTTGCGCTTCAAGCATGCACTTGTTTCTGGAATACCCAATATTATTATTTACTATGAAATAATTGCTTACCTGTATGGATCTTTGAGTTCTTCAGTGACGAAGTTCAAATAACTCCTGAAAATAAACATGGAAACAATCAGTGAATCATGTGAATCAGTGACAATCATGTCAAACAAGTACAACACCCTCTGTAGCTCCAGGTAGACCTACACTAATTCCTGAATCCATTCATTTGGTTCTGGCAATCTCAAATTACCCGCCAACCCGCAAAACAATACCAAAAGATAATTTATTGGGTTATTTGCTTGAAAAAATATTTTTATACTTATAATACATCATTTCTTACGAACAGCTGTGATAAAAGTTAGGACAAGATATACGGATTGAAAACTTCCTTATTACAATTAGGAGCAACATTTCGGTGTAGGTTATGACAACGGTGTTTGAGCCTACGCCGACATGTCGCTCCTAACACTGTTGTCAAGCAAGTGTTAGAACCTACACCGAAACATCACTCCTAATTGTAATAAACAAGTTGTTTATCCATATTGTAGCGGCCCGGACCCGAACTTCTGATAAACCTCGAAGTCTGGATGTAACTGAGAGTCAAAACACTTCTTTCCAATGAATAATTAGTTTTTATTCATGTGGGTATAAAAATGCCTTATATGGACAACACAATGCTTCCAAATAAGTAGATCCCTCTGAGCTTTAAGGTTTATTTGTAAGGACCAGTGTCAGGGCAAAATAATTATTGCCTGTAACTATAATGGTAGTTTACTGCTATTAATATATATATATGGATGACTTTACAGTTACTCAGATAGCAATTTGTGTTTGTGTTCAAAAATGCAGTCTATTTATAGAAATGATTACATAAGGACAAGGGGAACTTTTGGGCTGAATTATCTGCCCTTTGATTGAAACTGACCTTTAGACTGCCAAAGTCAGAATGACCCAGAATGGATCTCATCGTATTTATAGGTGTGAGAAAATGGTCACATGTCTGTTATTGACCAATCAAATTACGAGAAATTACGTCTCTTTACGTCCTTATTCCTTTGAGGGATCTACTTTCACAATGTAAAATCACTGAAATAAAGAGGAAGGCAAACCATCTCAGGAGGTAATTTGGTATAAAAATGAGTATTTATACCAATCAATGAATTCTGTCTAATTGATTCACTAATTGCCTTCCAATATCACAAGATAAACAATTACGTCCTGCTACATCGAAGCTACGTCCTTGCTGCCTGCCGAGAGGACGTAATAACAACAAGCAACATCGACTGGGAATTACGATGGACAATTCAAAGAGGAAGATTACAAATGTCAGGAGGCAATTGGAATTTATCTGATGCATAAGACGTTTAATAACACAAATTGGCCACTGGTATGCTTTGACAGAAGCACTGGATGTCATATTTATGAGAAACATGTTCATAAATAGTGACGCTAAATACTGCGCATGAATACATCAGCGAAGATTACATAGTTCCTGATGTCAGAATTAACAGTAACTTTAATACACGTCTTGACATATCATCAAATACGATTCTGGGTTCCTCTGGACATAGTTCATTAGATTAAACAAACTTTATAATGCAAATGCTAAGCATTAGCCAAATTCAGTAACTTCATCGCGACCTAGGCTAGCTGTCACAAAGTTAAAATGGCGGGCGTCGGCGAAACACGTAGCTCAGCCCTGATCACAAATTCACACAAATATGGATAAATATCAAGCTGCCAAGTGATTGTGATCTGTTTGTTGAAGAACAAAGGTATGATTAATCTGTATCTGATGGTTAATTTGCGTAACTGTGTGCTTAGAACGATGAATTCTTCAAAAGTTACGGTCAATGCAAAACTCTTGAAACAAGTAAACAAGATCGTTTTGACAGGCACGTTGTTGACATCGATGCTTATGAGGTACTGGCACATCCTAAACAATATGCGTAACATGATGGCATGGACATATGATTATTTTTACGAGATAACGGTGTGCCATGAAGCTCTATAAAAGCATGCTATGATCCTCTGATAGATTTCTTACCAAAACGGGATTCAAAACATTGAATTACGTGAAAACGAGGTTGGCAAAAGTATACTGATATATACCTGCAAAACTAATTACAGTTTACAGGATAATTATGATATAATTCGTGCACTGTCATATAACCATCAAAAATACAACAGGGAAATATTTAGGAAATATTTCTAATTTTTACAAGCTGTTATAACTTACATATTTTATAATAAAGACACATTAATATTTATATATTCTTCGTGATGGCCATCACATCATCCCCCTCTTCAAAGATCAGGTCCCCTGATCTGCTAATCCGCTTCAAGGCGAAGACCGATCCTTGCTGCATCGATAGAGTTGATGATCCTGTCTGTTTCCGTATTCCTATGGCGTTGGGCGGCTTGATGCATGAGGATTATGGCCCTGGCAGTCTGGCCGTTGATCTTGCCCAAGGAGATGTCAACCAAGGTCCGGTAATCGTAAAGACGGGCCTTCCTTGATGGTGAGTGGTCCTCTGTATGCAGTAGGGTACCAGGGAGGGCAAGCATATTCCATCTGTCATGCAAGTAGCTCCTTTCAATCCGAGGGACTCGTCCTTGGAGGCCCTCCTCCAGGGTCATGGCAGCAAATTCCCACTGGAGGAGTCTCTCATCTGCACTGAGGGTCTCCCAGCTCCTAGGAGGCCAGGTGATGCTCCTTGCACCAGCAGAGAGCCGGATCTGATGGTGTGTCCAGTCCCTTCTGGCTGGGGGAAGCAGTGGCATGCAACCTGTTGTCAAGATCTTCTTGGCATCCCTCATGGTGTCCACTTCCCTTGGCCTTGGGGGAGAGCTGGGCCTTTGATGGTATCTTTTCTGTTCCTCTCTTCTTGGGATCTTTGATGCGGAATCCTTATGGGGAGACATGTTGGAGTTATTCGATCTTTTCTTGGGCCTGGGGGAAGGTTCCCTTGATGAAAAAGGGGATGTCCAGTGTGTAACGGAGTTGATCATGTTCCTCTCTATCCCCAGGAGTGATGCGAAGGTGGCTTTCCTTGTTTCCAGTTGTGGTCCCTCCATTTTCTGGCCCGATCCACTTGGCCTGGAGTTGGGTTCGGCCCTGCCAAGAGTCCTCATCCGCCTTGTGAGGTTGTCGAAGGACTTTGGACTCTGCATGGCTTCTTCCGAAATGCCCGCCTCGTACACAAACCCACCCCCAGGCGTATAGAACAGGACAGTAGCACCATTCCTGTGGAGGAGGATGTCCTTAATCTCTAGTTCAGTCGAGGCGCCACACTTGCTTTCTGAAGGGTCGTATTCTGGTGGTGTGTTAACTTCCGGTTCAAGACTTATGATTCCATCTGTAAATATAGACAGAGCATCATCATCTTCTACCTCCTGCACCTCCACTGGTAGGGTCTTTGTAACCGTTTTAATCGTCTGCCATCCCTCCTCCCATTCTTCCTCTGTTCTTGGCATGCTGCCCTGTGTTGATACCCAAAGAAGGACCATTTCCCTTGTCTTTGCTGAAAGTGCCGCATTCCAACCTGGAGCTGGTACCGCCCTTACATAAGATTCTGGATTAAGTGAAAACCATGTGGCGTTGCTTTCTGACGTAAAGTCTGCATCAAGTTCCTGCAGCTGTAGCTTGTGCTTCGCATCACAGTGCCTCTTCCACTCTGACACTCTTGCAAAGGACTGGAATGAAGGACATAGGATACAGGCTACCTTGAGTTTACGATGTGGTGCTGCTGCCAAATGATTTTTCAATTCTTTCTTCGTTGCAAAAGAATATTTACATGCTCCGAGTCCACAGACATACTTGTGAGCCATCTTCAACGATTATGTGTATTCTGTAACACAAATGTTTTCTTTTAGACTTGCCTAAACATCCAACAATGCAGCATATTATTCCAACTTAAATGCCATCATGTGTAATTGTACTATTGATTATGACTTAAGGTCAATACTCTACAACCCTGACACTGGTTTGCATGGATCTCTGATAAATATCTTAGCCTCACAGGACAATCATAGCTTCTATCTTTACACGGGTCACCTCCATCGGTTCTGTGTACTCCGTTCTCACACGATGCCCAGATCAAATGCCACAGAAAGAATGTAAACAACATCAAGTCAGCAGGTTCCAGGGTGATCAGGCCTAGTCTTACTGCGTTACATGACGGATCCATCATCGTTTGCTGCAGCACTTCCATCAACATGTTCTTTCTGTTTGCAGATATCTGGCGCTGTATGACACAAGTTGAGGTTCCACCCAACAAAGCTTCAAGTCCTTGTACAGCTCCCTAAGATTTACCAGAGCAACCCATGCAAGCAATAGCTTCAGCACTGAAGCTCAAGATCCTTCTTCGGGACATAGATTATCCCATCCAACTATTTACATCGTAATAAAACTCCAACATTGTTAACAATAAACACAAACTTCTGAAGTTCAACTTTTCTTTAAGATATTGTTAAGACAGGTTCTCAAGGCCTAATCTTCTAGTTCCTTGAAGTTGACTGCTGACATCTTTTGATCCATGAGGGAAGGTTCTTCCCTCTGTAGAGTAGCAGCCGATCCACATGAAACACCTTAGAAGGTTGCTTAAGGGACCTTCTCACAAGGTAGGTGACATCATCTATCCTTTTCTCAATGAGATAGGGTCCTTTCCAACTTGAAGTGAGCTTCTGACAGACCCCACGTTTCCGTACAGGGTTGTGGAGCCATGCAGCTTGTCCCTCTTTAAGACATCTTCCCTTGGCCTTGAGATCATAATTCTTCTTCCGATATTCTGCTGTCTGTTTCAGGGATCTCCTGCCAGCTTCGTGAGCTCGTTTCAGCCTATCTTCCAATGTTAAGAGATATGTTTCAACATCAGCCTGATCCCGAAGCTCTTCTGGCCTCCCAATGACTGCTTGCATGGGCAGAACTATCTCCTTTCCGAAGACCATTTTGTTGGGTGTGCGCCCAGTACTGGAATGCATTGAAGCTCTGTAGGCCATCATTACTTGAGGCAAGTACTCGTCCCACCGCTTCTGATCCCTCTCACAATACATTGTGAGCATCTGTGCAAGGGTTTTGTTGAACCTTTCCACAGCTCCATTTGATT